ACGATGGAATTGAACCAGTCTTGGCACACAGAACTCCCATGACCAACAGAAAATACTGGGTTTTGTGGGCAGTGTCCTTTGGTTTTGGAGTTGTAGTTCACCTACATCCAGAGATCACTGTGGACTCAAGCAATGATGGATCTGGACCAAACTCTACACAAATATTCAATATGCCCAAATGGGAACACTGGATAAGTTTGGGGGAGAGAAAATCTTGACATTTGGGAGTTGTAGTGGTGGGATTTATAGTTCACCTACAATCAAAGAGTATTCTGAACCCCACCAACGATAGAATTGAGTCAAACCTCCCACACAGAACCCCCATGTGGGCCACAGCAACGCGTGGCAGGGGACAGCTAGTAATAAATAAAGTTAGTAATTGGGAAAGTTCTGAAAGAGAGAGAGCAGAGTTGTGAGAATATGCTACAAAAGTAGTCAAACCTCATACCAATATCATTTCCTGTGAAAACGTCATGTTTCTTCTTATAAAAGCATTGGGCATGGCAGAGGATTTGATGACAATCATTACTGGCTGTCTGTTCAGTCCGAACAATGTAATTCACACAATACATGACATTTTGAGGCCTTCCTTATGGTCATATTTCTGAGTACTATGCTTTGATTCTCTCTGTATGATGTCACTGGAGGGTGTTTCGACTCACTTGAGTACAGTTACTCAGCACATGAAAGATGGTTTTGAAAGATTACACGAGCTGTCTTCATAGACCTGTCAGCAGTTTATGTTACTGTAAATATTTGTCTCCTTGTGGAAAAAAAATATATCAAAAAGGATTACCACCTTACCTGCTTCATAGGAAATCTGCTACCAAACAGGAGCTTTTTTGTTGCGTTCCAGAGTCAGAGAAGGAGATAGTGAAAACAGAAGAATGGCCTGTCTCAGGGGAGCGTGCTTGCTCCATCACTGTTTAACATCTTAACATCTACACAAATGATCAACCACTGCCAGAAAGGACAGAGTTTCATCTATGTTGACGATCATGCCATCAATGCTCAAGCAAGGAGCTTTGAAACGGTTGAACAGAAGCTCTCTAAAGCTTTAGGTGCTCAGGGGAAACCAGCTGATTCCTAATCCATCTAAAACGCAGATAGGTGCTTTTCATCTAAAAAACAAAGAAGCATCTTGAGCTTTGAGGATCGCCTTGGGGAAAAATCTACTGAAGCATTGCAGCACACCAAAATACCAGGGAATCACTCTGGATCGTGCTCTGACTTACAAAAAGCACTGTGTGAATATCAAGTAAAAAGTGGGTGCTAGAAATAATATCATACGAAAGCTGACTGGCACAACCTGGGGATCGCAGCCAGACACAATGAAGGCGGTGTATTGTTTTTATTGTTTACTGCTATTGTTTTATAGTTTGATTTGCTTTAAGTTATGTGTTTTGTTATGCTGTTGTTTTATTGAGGTCTTGGCCTGTGTAAGCCGCATTGAGTCCTTCGGGAGATGCTAGCGGGGTACAAATAAAGTTAATAATAATAATCCCTTGTTTGGCCATCAGCCAGCACGCCAACGACTTAAATCAAAAAATAGTTTTCTAAGATCTACAGAGACACTCGCTGGAACACCTCCGCAAGCGAGAGTCCAAAAGTGGCAGGCTCAAACCCAGAGCCTCAATCAATGGCTGATACCAAATGAGAGACTCCCCCCTGGGCACACAGAAGACTGGGCGACTTGGAAGGCGCTGAACAGACTGCGCTCTGGCACCACGAGATGCAGAGCCAACCTTCAGAAATGGGGCTACACAAATGTGAATCTGCCGAAGTTATGTCACTTAACGATTGCGACGTGCGATGAAAGAGCAAACCAATTCAAGACCACCTGCTAGCACCAGTCATGCATAGATCCATGACCCTTCCACACATGGCTACAAATGGGAGGGCCCTTCACTTCATGTCTGCCGGTCAAACGCCCAGAAGTAGGCCACTCTCAGAGTGGCAGCAGATACTGGTCAAAGGGGTTAGGACATTTAATCAACTAGACCAAGTCTTGGCAAAATTTGGTTGTTTCTTTTATTTTGATCTGATTTTGTTTGTTGGGTTCCACTGTTAAAATAATGAAGTACATCGGTCTGGGGTGTGTTGCTGATTACACGATAAATAGAAATAGAATCAGAAGGACTGAGGAGAGTAGGCTTGTTCTTTAACCGCTCTCCTGGGGGAGGATTATGGACTGGGCAAAGTAGGATCCATGAGTCTATCAAATGTTTCCGCTTTCTTGAAGAATGTAGACAGTTCATAGAATCATAGAATCATAGAATCAAAGAGTTGAAAGAGACCTCATGGGCCATCCAGTCCAACCCCCTGCCAAGAAGCAGGAATATTGCATTCAAATCACCCCTGACAGATGGCCATCCAGCCTCTGTTTAAAAGCTTCCAAAGAAGGAGCCTCCACCACACTCCGGGGCAGAGAGTTCCACTGCTGAACGGCTCTCACAGTCAGGAAGTTCTTCCTCATGTTCAGGATGGAATCTCCTTTCTTGTAGTTTGAAGCCATTGTTTTGTGTCCTAGTCTCCAGGGAAGCAGAAAACAAGCTTGCTCCCTCCTCCCTGTGGCTTCCTCTCACATATTTATACATGGCTATCATATCTCCTCTCAGCCTTCTCTTCTTCAGGCTAAACATGCCAGCTCTTTAAGCTGCTCCTCATAGGGCTTGTTCTCCAGACTCTGATCATTTTAGTCACCTTCCTCTGAACACATTCCAGCTTGTCAATATCTCTTTTGAATTGTGGTGCCCAGAATTGGACACAATATTCCAGGTGTGGTCTAACCAAAGCGGAATAGAGGGGTAGCATTACTTCCTTAGATCTAGACTCTATGCTCCTATTGATGCAGGCCAAAATCCCATTGGCTTTTTTTGCCGCCACATCACATTGTTGGCTCATGTTTAACTTGTTGTCCACGAGGACTCCAAGATCTTTTTCACATGTACTGCTCTCGAGCCAGGCATCCCCCATTCTGTATCTTTGCATTTTGTTTTCGCTTTTTCTGCCAAAGTGGAGTATCTTGCATTTGTCCCTGTTGAACTTCATTTTGTTAGTTTTGGCCCATCTCTCCAATCTGTCAAGATGGTTTTGAATCCTGCTCCTGTGCTCTGGACTATTGGCTATCCCTCCCAATTTGGTGTCCTCTGCAAACTTGATGATCCTGCCTTCTAGCCCTTCATCTAAATCATTAATAAAGACGTTGAACAGGACCGGGCCCAGGACGCAACCCTGCGGCACTCCACTTATCACTTCTTTCCAGGATGAAGAGGAAGCATTGGGGAGCACCATTTAACCACTTACTTACTTACTTACTTATTTAGGCGATCCCTCATTGGACGAGTAAGATGATCTTCCATCATGGGTTTCCCTGTGGGTCTGTATGTAGCTGTGGAGCCCTATTCTTGCTCTGCATGTTCTTCCGCAGTGAGGGCATTGGTTTCCAGGTGGAAGGCGCTCCCGGTCGGGGTTGGCTTGATGCGCCTTCCTCCTGGCACGTTTCTCTCTTTCACCCTCCACTCGTGCCTCCTCGAATTCTGCAGCACTGCTGGTCACAGCTGACCTCCAGCTGGAGCGCTCAAGGGCCAGGGCTGCCCAGTTCTCAGTGTCTATGCCAGAGTTTTTAAGGTTGGCTTTGAGCCCATCTTTAAATCTCTTTTCCTGTCCACCAACATTCCGTTTTCCGTTCTTAAGTTCAGAGTAGAGCAACTGCTTTGGGAGACGGTGGTCAGGCATCCGGACAACGTGGCCAGTCCAGCGGAGTTGATGTTGGAGGACCATCGCTTCAATGCTGGTAGTCTTTGCTTCTTCCAGCACACTGACGTTTGTTCGCTTGTCTTCCCAGGAGATTTGCAGGATTTTCCGGAGGCAGCGCTGATGGAATCGTTCCAGGAGTTGCATGTGACGTCTGTAGACAGTCCACGTCTCACAGGCATATAGCAGGGTTGGGAGGACAATAGCTTTATAAACAAGCACCTTGGTATCCCTACGGATGTCCCGGTCCTCAAACACTCTCTGCTTCATTCGGAAAAATGCTGCACTCGCAGAGCTCAGGCGGTGTTGTATTTCGGTGTCAATGTTGACTTTGGTGGAGAGGTGGCTGCCAAGGTAGCGGAAATGGTCAACATTTTCTAATGTTACACCATTAAGCTGTATCTCTGGCATTGGAGAGGGATTGGCTGGTGACTGCTGGAACAGCACTTTGGTTTTCTCGATGTTCAGTGACAGGCCGAGCTTCGTGTATGCTTCTGCGAAGGTGTTTAGAGTGGCTTGTAGATCTTCTTCTGAATGCGCACAGACGACATTGTCATCAGCATACTGGAGTTCTATAACAGATGTTGTTGTAACCTTGGTTTTGGCTTTCAGTCTGCTGAGGTTAAACAGCTTGCCATCTGTCTGATAGATGATTTCCACTCCGGTGGGAAGCTTCCCATCAACAAGGTGAAGTATCATAGCGATGAAGATGGAGAATAAAGTTGGGGCAATAACACATCCCTGTTTGACACCCGATTCCACCTTAAATGGGTCACTTTGGGAGCCATTGCTGTCCAAGACTGTTGCCATCATGTCATCATGTCTTCATTCTTTCCAGGATGAAGAGGAAGCATTGGGGAGGAGCACAATTTAACCAATTACTGATCCACCTCACAGTAATTTTGCCTAGCCCACATTGGACTAGTTTCCTTGCCGGAAGGTCATGGTCAAAGGACATTTAATCAACTACCAACCTTGCAAATTCTATGTCTTTTGTATGTTTGTTTGTTTGTTCTGTCAAAAATGTAATACAACTGTTCGGTTGCCTGACAGGACAAATAAATATTGGCAGAGCTTTCCCTCCACTCCAGCTTGTGTCTCTGGCGCGCCACCTAGTGTCCGCGCGCGGGAGGGCAGCCGGAGAGCATCGCGTGCGAACGGGCGAGTTGACGGCAGGGAGGCTCCGCAGCGGCTCACGCTCTTTCCAGTCGCGGGCGGGAGAGAGAGAGAGAGAGAGAGCCAGAGAGAGCGGCAGAGTCCGCGCTGCCTCGGAGCCGAAGCCCGGTGAGTCCCAAGAATTCCCCTTTTCCCCCTTCTCCCCGCTGTTGCTCAGCCCGCCCCGTGGAAGGAGACGTGGGGCAACAGGAGAGGATGCCAACCATGCCTTTGGACGCTCTGATGGGGCAGTGGGTTCCACTGGAGGCACTGGGATTGATGGGGCAGGGAGAGACAAATCCTCTGCCTAGTGTGCGTGCTTAGATCAGGGAAAGCTGTATTTAAAGATATGAGAGGATGTCAGGTTATGACCTAAAGCACAGCACAGTGGATTCCAATGGCGGGAAAAGAGATCCCACCTAAACATTAGAAATAACTTCAGTGTTCAATGATGGAACTCTCTGCCTCGGAGTATTGTGGAGGCTCCTTCTTTGGAGGCTTTTATCCAGAAGGTGGATGGCCATCTCTCGGGGGTGCTTGAATTGTGCTTTTCCTTCATGGCAAGGCTTGGACTGGATGTCCCTTGTGGTCTTTTCCAATTCCATGATTCATAGAATCATAGAATCAAAGAGTTGGAAGAGACCTCATGGGCCATCCAGTCCAACCCCCTGCCAAGAAGCAGGAATATTGCATTCAAATCACCCCTGACAGATGGCCATCTAGCCTCTGCTTAAAAGCTTCCAAAGAAGGAGCCTCCACCACACTCCGGGGCAGAGAGTTCCACTGCTGAACGGCTCTCACAGTCAGGAAGTTCTTCCTAATGTTCAGATGGAATCTCCTCTCTTGTAGTTTGAAGCCATTGTTCCGCGTCCTAGTCTCCAAGGAAGCAGAAAACAAGCTTGCTCCCTCCTCCCTGTGGCTTCCCCTCACATATTTATACATGGCTATCATATCTCCTCTCAGCCTTCTCTTCTTCAGGCTAAACATGCCCAGCTCTTTAAGCTGCTCCTCATAGGGCTTGTTCTCCAGACCCTTGATCATTTTAGTTGCCCTCCTCTGGACACTTTCCAGCTTGTCAATATCTCTCTTGAATTGTGGTGCCCAGAATTGGACACAATATTCCAGATGTGGTCTAACCAAAGCAGAATAGAGGGATAGCATTACTTCCTTAGATCTAGACACTATGCTCCTATTGTTGATGTTGATGTTTTTGATCAGTACATCATATTATCTTCCTTACCAACTATCTACCAGTCATTTTTTTCAATTTGTTTGGATTTTCTGCCTTTTGGAATCACACTCCACACACATGTATGATGATGATGATGATGATGATTATTATTATTATTATTATTAATCTATATAAATAAAAATGTAACAACAAGCATGATTGACAGCTGGAAAATAGAGGGAGAAAATGTGGAGGCCGTGACAGACTTTGTATTTCTAGGCGCAAAAATTACTGCAGATGCAGACTGTGGCCAGGAAATCAGAAGACGCTTACTTCTTGGAAGGAGAGCAACGTCCAATCTCGATAAAATAGTAAAGAGTAGAGACATCAGACTGGCAACAAAGATCCGCCTAGTCAAAGCCATGGTATTCCCTGTAGTCACCTACGGATGTCAGAGCTGGACCTTAGGGAAGGCTGAGCGAAGGAAGATCGATGCTTTTGAGCTGTGGTGTTGGAGGAAAGTGCTGAGAGTGCCTTGGACTGCGAGAAGATCCAACCAGTCCATCCTCCAGGAAATAAAGCCCGGCTGCTCACTGGAGGAAGGATACTAGAGACAAAGTTGAAGTACTTTGGCCACATCATGAGGAGACAGTAAAGCTTAGAGAAGACAATTATGCTGGGGAAAGTGGAAGGTAAAAGGAAGAGGGGCCGACCAGGGGCAAGATGGATGGATGGCATCCTTGAAGTGACTGACTGACCTTGAAGGAGCTGGGGGTGGTGACGGCCGACAGGGAGCTCTGGCGTGGGCTGGTCCATGAAGTCACGAAGAGTCGGAGACGACTGAACGAATGAACAACAACCAGTCATTTTTTCAATTTGTTTGGATTTTCTGCCTTTTGGAATCACACTCCACACACATGTATTATTATTATTATTATTATTATTATTATTATTATTATTATTAATCTATATAAATAAAAATGTAATGTTCGTTTATGGGATTAACAGAACTCAAAAACCACTGGACGAATTGATACCAAATTTGGAGACCAACGAGTGACCATCACTCATAAAAACACTGAAAAACACAGCAGAAGAGACTTTAAAGGCCCTGCAAAAATTACATTACAACACATTGAAAACCACACACATATATACACAAACACACATATATACACACAAAAAACACAGACTGGGCCACAGCAATGCATGGCAGGAGATGGCTATATAAATAGAAATATAATGTTCGTTTGTGGGATTAACACAACTCAAAAACCACTGGACGAATTGAAACCAAATTTGGACACAATACACTTATCAAGCCAATGAGTGACCATCACTCATAAAAACACTGAAAAACACAACAGAAGAGATTAAAAATCCAAAAAAAATAAAAAATACATTACAACGCATGCACAAAATCACACACGCACATAACTATATATGCAAACACACACATATAGATATATACACAAATATATACACACATACACACACACAAAACACATATACACAGAATGGGCCACAGCAACGCATGGCAGGGGACAGCTAGTCTATATAAATAAAAATGTAATGTTCGTTTGTGGGATTAACAGAACTCAGAGACCCCTGGACGAATTGGCACCAAATTTGGACCCAAGACACCTAACAACCCAATGTATGTCTTTCACTCAAAAAATTGATTTTGTCATTTGGGAATTGTAGTTGCTGGGATTTATAGTTCACCTACAATCAAAGAGCATTCTGAACCCCACCAACGATGGAATTGAACCAAACTTGGCACACAGTTTTCCCATGACCAACAGAAAATACTGGAAGGGTTTGGTGGGCAGTGTCCTTTGGTTTTGGAGTTGTAGTTCACCGACATCCAAAGATGACTGTGGACTTAAACAATGATGTATCTGTACCAAACTCTACAAGAATACTCAATATGCCCAAATGTGGACACTGGTGGAGTTTGGGGAAAATAGAATCTTGACATTCGGGAGTTGTAGTTGCTGGGATGTATAGTTCACCTACAATCACAGAGCATTCTGAATCCCACCAACGATAGAATTGGGCCAAACCTCCCACACTGAACCCCCATGACCACCACAGTGGGCCACAGCAAGGCATGGCAGGGAACAGCTAGTAATAATAATAATAATGACGGAAATACGATCAAGGCTATCAACACCTGGACCATCATTACATACACTGCTGCAGGGCCGTAGCCAGAAAAGATTTTGGGGGTGGGGGGGTTGAAACTTTTTTTTAGCAAATCATGAAGAGTAGTTCAATAACACAACAACAACATTTTTAATACAGTCCAAAGACCCTTATTGCTCCATAAAAGTTATAAGATACAAGGTATGCAAGGTTACTAAGGCCAAAAATAGCCAAAAAAAGTAGTGTTTTTTTTACTTCAAAAATTTCAGGGGGGTTGAACCCCTAATACCCCTCCCCCCTCCCCCGCTACAGGCCTGCACTGCTGGGATTGTGAACTGGACACAAGCAGAGCTGGATGATCTGGACAGAAAAACAAGGAAACGGATGACAATCCACTCCTCATGACACTCATGTATTGATGTCGACAGACTTGACTTGCCCAGAAAATCAGGAGGCAGAGAGAGGGCTTCTGCAAGTGAAACAAACGGTAGAAGAGAAACACTCACTGGCAGATTATGTGAAAGGCAGTCAAGAACCAACATTGAGGGGAAGTCAATAGTAGGAAACTGCTTCAAGTACAAAAGACAAAGAGGGAATACCGTAAAAACACAATTCAGAGCATAAGAGAAAACTGGCAAAAGAAGGCTCTCCATGGACAGTTCCTGGGAAAAATTGAGAGCCAAATTGACAAAGAAAAAACATGGCTGTGGCTCACAAATGGGACTCTGAAAAAAGGAGACGGAGGGTCTGATTCTGGCAGCGCAAGAACAAGCCATTAGAACCAATGCCATCAAAGCCAGAACTGAAAAGTCGACGACAGATCCCAAATGTAGACTCTGCAAGGAAGCAGATGAAACAATAGATCACATCTTCAGCTGCTGCAAGAAGATTGCGCAGACAGACTACAAGCAGAGGCACAACACCGTTGCTCAGATGATTCACTGGAACTTGTGCCACAAATACCATCTGCCTGCGACAAAGAACTGGTGGGATCACAAGCCGGAAAGAGTTACAGAGAATGAACACGCCAAACTTCTTTGGGACTTCCAGATTCAGTTTTGGAGCATATTACTACTGACTTCACAATCGTGTTAAAAAGCAAAGTATGGATCGCTGATGTTTCAATTCCAGGTGACAGCAGGATTACAGAGAAACAAATGGAAAAGTTGACACAATATGAGGATTTAAAGATTGAACTGCAAAGACTCTGGCACAAGCCAGTCAAGGTGGTCCCAGTCGGCGCTGACAAAATTACCACAAAAGGCCACCTTACTGGTATCTGCTTGCATTATCCACCAATACATCACACAGTCCTAGACACTTGGGAAGTGTCCGACGTGTGATCCAATACAACAGCCAACAAAGTGGTGGCTGTGGACTCATCTTGTTATGTTAATAATAATAATAATAATAATAATAATAATAATAATAATAATAATAATGGAACCCAATACACCAGACATCACGATTGTGGAAAAGAAAAAAGTCTGGATTATTGATGTCGCCATATTGAGGACATTGAGGACAAACAACAGGAAAAACTCTGCTGCTATCAAGACCTCAAAATCGAACTGCAAAGGCTCTGGCATAAACCAGCACAGGTGGTCCCAGTGGTCATCGGCACACTGGGTGCTGTGCCAAAAGGTCTCAGCCGGCATTTGGAAACAATAAACAGCAACAAAATCACGATCTGTCAACTGCAAAAGGCCACCTTACTTGGATCTGCGCACATCATTCGAAAATACATCACACAGTCCTAGACGCTTGGGAAGTGTTTGACTTGTGATTTTTTGATACGAAATCCAGCATA